AAAGTGGGCCAAATCCGGAGATGAACGTGTTCTAAGCGGAGGCTCAACGACCGTGACACGCGACGGATTCGCTTTGATTCCTCCACTCGACACGCGACGGACTCGATTATTGCACAGCCCAGCTCAAAGTACAGCTCCAAAGCGAACAGCGTCTAGGTCACGAGGCAGGAGGAGGGAATCGCTGTAAGGTGACCAACAGCTTACGCCAACCCACGACTTCGACCCAGTGAAGACAAACTGCAGACTGAATCGGTTTCTCGCTTTGCACGTAGCACAGCAATAAAATGTTGAATGCAATAAATTACGATCCACAGCGATGCAATTTCGGATTTCGAAAATATTCTGTTTCTGGCACGGAAAGCTGATGCTGGCAGAAAAATGAAACATGCTTTCAGTGTTGAAACTTTCAAAACAACAGAGCATTTATCACAGAGTAGACATGCACATCAGGCAAGCAAATTTCAAGTGCACATTTGTATTCATGCTGGCCAGCTCGGTGGCGCATTGAATAACGCGCGAGTGAATCTTGGTGACAGATCTTTGGTTCGAGCTTAATTTCGGTAGGGTTTCCTGGACCTAGGGCCCCGTCCCCGGATGAACGATGCGAATGCGTCTTCACAATGCGTGTCCATTGAAAGGAGCGGGGACAAAAACGTTCTCAAAGTTTAAAAAGCTTGAAAAACGTTTGAAATTGCTCCATATATTTTTCGCTGATGGATTTCAAAGAAATGACCACCTTCTCCAGGCGAACAAGTGTATTGCATAGTACTGCTTATGTTTTACTCCATTTCGGTCTATGCTGGTGTTCAGTCCACGGGCCACTCAATATCTATGTAACCCCCCCCCCCAAAAAAAGGCAACACCCCCACCACCGGCCGTAGCTTTGTACAGAGGCACGAATGAACAATTCCAATGTGAAAAGCCCCGCGGTTTTTCATGAAGTCAATTGAATCCTGCTAGTAACACCACATTTACTTCTAATATAAGCTGATTTGCATCTTCTGATAGCTCCTGGTCTGTCGTTCAGGCAATAGAACTGAACGTAAAACTAAGGGAAGATGACCGCTCAGAATATCACACTAAATCCGGCGATTACCGGTCAAAAACTAAGAGTGCCAATCAAGGGGGGGGGGGAATCTGGGAGTGGGAAATGCCCTCGCCCATTTTGTGAGGGGGACACCATAGCGAAGCGTGGCCCCTCCCTTGACGAAACTCTGGAGCCGCCCCTGGGACAGACCAGCTGGACAATGGGTTAGTTATGACCTTCACAAAGACAATCAAATCAAGTTCCAATCAATCAAATCAATTCAATCAGTGTTCAAATCAATCCGCCGACTCTGTCGTTTACAGCGCGAGGAACTTTCTGTTCACACATTCACGATTTACGCGCAGTGTGTTTGGTTCACTATTTCACCATTTCCACCGCGTTGTGATAATCGTGTCGAGTACGTTCATCGTTTGTGTGAGATGTTATGCTGTCAGTCGCTTGAGCAGAACGCGGTGCATGTTTTAACACGCGCCCGAGTGGCCGGTTGAATGCCCTTCGCTCGAGTGGGGGTTAAGTTGACCCCCCTGAGATATAAAAACTAAGACAGCTAGAAACACCATATCTACCACGTGGGTTGGCCACTATGTGGACGCACTTGTGTCAAGATTTGAGGTTCCTGGGTCATGACCTTGGGTCAAATAAGATTTTAAAAATGTCCAACCCCAGATAAGTGTTTTAAGTCCGCTGGACATTCTCACGCACCCGCCCTAAACCTAGAAACCTGTTATAAGCTAGAGGTCAACGGGTTTAATCTGAGGTCGGTGACCTTGTTCAACTTATAACGTCAAGGTGACTAAAAACTGTGGAATCGTTGTTAATTTTTCCAGTCAAATAACGGCCAGGGATCACGCTAGGCGGCAAGTCCTAAAAATAAAATGTTGGCCAGGGTGGGGTTAGCTGTAGGTCAGTGACAAAATCTGGTCTTTAAAAAAACTCATGAAGCATGTCTGCTGCTTTTCTTGTCATTAACAAATTTGGAGTGACCAACAAAAACTACCTTTTAAGGGAAGCTCCCGGCTTAAAAGGGATGCCAATTTTGACTTCGATTATTAATTTTGAGCTTTGTAATTCTGACTCTCACACCTCACCCTAGGTCAATGAACTTTGTTGTAATTCAAAATTCAGTGATGTATTACCTAAGAAACCACCTCAGAGGTGCATGCCCTCGTCTTCAACCCGATCTCCGTTGTTGTATCACGTTGAACGATTCCCTAGAATTAGCCTCCGTTGACAGACAGGGCCTGGGTTTGACCTGCTCTAAGTCAGCGACCTTTCAAAGTACGTCGTATTTGTTATACTGAAAAATCCGTTATTCAGTTAACTGCAGCGCCGCGCTTTTCGGAAACCATTTTGGAAAACCTTCGGGGGTCAAATTGACTCTCCACCCCAAGCGCGTGTTAACACGCGCCCGAGTGGCGGGCTGAATACCCTCCGCTGGTGTGTGGGTCAAACTGACCCCTCTCTAAGATCTTGACAACTAAGATGGCTAGAGGCACCAAATTCGCAGGGTGGATTGCCTGCACGTGAACTCAAGTGGCAAAATTTGGGGGTTCCTACATCATGACTTTGAATTCAAATAAGGTTAAACAATATCAAACTCCACAATGGTGTCTCAAGTGTCTCCAGACCTCCCCATGCATCCACCGTGAAGCTAGATACCTGTTCTTAGCAAAAGGTCAATGAGTCAGTGACCTTGTTTGACCTTTATAAGGTAAAGGTAACCACGTGTCCACGAGACTGCTTCTATTTTGCCATTCCAATAAGCTTCAGGGATAACGCTAGGCATATTCCCAAGAACAAATTGTTTACCCGGGTCCTTTTAAGTCAGTGACCCATTCTTACCGTTAAAAAGCCCATGGAACACGTCTGTTGCGGTCCCCGTCATTAATACATTAAAAATTGGCGGCAAAAAACCATGAAACCAAGCTCTGGAGTAAAAAGCAGGCTGGTTTTGATCTCGTTTTGACTCCGATACCTGACCGTAGATCAATGTAAATGGTTGTAATTCCAAATTAGATTATTTGATTGCCTAAGGAACTATCTCAGAGGTATGGCTTCATCTAACGCTCCGTTGTTGCATTACATTGCGCGACTCCCAAGAAATGCCTTTCGCTGACAGTCATGGCTCGAGTTTGACCTGCCATAGGCCAGCGACCTTACAAGGTACACCCATATTTTACATCAAAAGATCCGTTTTCAATTCTGGAAAGCTATGTAAAGCTTGGCGCGGCTACGGCGCGCCGTTCGGAAACAATTCTGGAAAGACTTTGAGGGTCAGTTTGACCACGCCCGAACGCGTGTTAATCACCATATCGACACTTTCGCGTCACGAGAATGTGAGGAAACAGCTTCTCCGCCCTGAACGTTGGAGACGCGTCGCCCACGCCCCCACAGTTCACTGCCCTTTCAGCTGGAGAGATTGGCTGACGATAGCATGGCAAATTGGGGAAATTGTCATAGTCATCAGTGACGTCACCAATTACGCGGCAGAACCAGCCTTCCCGACGCCTGTGCGAGATTGGCCAGAGCTATCGTTCGGAGAACTAGATCTATCGGGGCATGTAGTGATCTAGACCTATCGGAGGACTAGATCCTGATTTCTGAGACGGCTAGGGTTCTTTTACCCGTCCCCAGGTGGTCGCACGCAGCGGGATATCCCAGGCAGTGCCGCTGTGAGCGGCGATTGAAGCGCGGTGGTGCAAGGTGACAGAAGCGCTTGACTTGGTGCTGAACTAAGTCACCAGTGATGTCACCAACTCCGTGTACCTCCAGCGCCCCGCCACCGTCAGCCACATCTCGGGCGCACACGATGCGCAACAGCAGTTGCTAAAGCGGTATGCACTGACGAAAACGCTACATAAATCATGCCAAAAACTTTTATTTCCGAACGCTTTATGAGTGGCGTCCATGTTCTACTACCCAGATGTGGGACATGCCACACCTCACAAATTGACCGTTGATTCTCGTTTGTTCTCACACACTCAGGACAGTCACAGCTAAGAAGGCAAACGTGATAATGCGAGCAGCGACAGCTGACGGGGCAAAGGCAGCAGTGTGACGTCGCAGCATCACGTACGCGTTCGGATTGACCCCATCTGACAAGGCATGCCTGTGGCAGCGACGACGGTCGGGCGCCTGCCCCTGTAGGGGCGCGGGCCCCTAATGGCCACCACCACAGCGCGGCCCGGTTAAACTAGCTAACCACGGCAACTAGATGCTGCCCAGACAACCGACAACTGGCGTGGCAAAGTACGGCTTGGGTACGCTACACTTATCACGTGCGGTGCCCCTGTCTCCTCAAAGCTTGTGATGGGCACTACAACATCGACGCGAGTGTTCCACAGTTGTGTGGGGTTGTGAGCTGAAGTCGTCGTCTTGAAGATCATTCGGTACAGTTCACAGCTGTCCCTGTTAACGCATAAACCCCTTAGTTTCTGAGCTACACACCCGCGAAGATGTCCATATTTTTTAAAGGTTACCCCGGCATCCATAACGCCTTAATGTCATTAAAATCATGTCATTACAATAGCCATGCGGCGATCAAGGCCAGGAAAAACATAACTGTCGAGTCGTCCATATCTGGCGTTCATGGGCACGATTTCCACATAAATCAGCCGTCAACTGGCACTCAATCCATATGGTGCAAGGCACCATGACGTAACCACACAATTACGTATTAAGGAGCATATCTACTAAACAGAAAAAGCTGTATGATCCGAACCCTACGTTTCACTAAAGGCTCCCGACCTGAACTCACCCGCTGGCCAATCTCCTATATGCGACAAACTTGGCTGATATAAAAATGTGGGTAGTGTAACAAATCGTCGACAAGGCACAAAGCACAGCCACATCCTAGACGACTCATATGTCCCAAATTCCTTGCATCATATGGAACTTGGAGAACAAGTACGCTGGCAGAAAAATCGCTCACGTGTTCACAAATGATAAGTACACGATGGACCCAGTGCAAACGATTTGCCAGATGTAACATGCGTTTGACATAAGACTCCGCCCACCCCGAGCCCGACATCCATTGACGAGTCCTCACCGATGAAAGCAAAAGACACATTGATTGAGCACAGCCACACAGCATCTGCGTCCACCGACAACGGCGCACTCCACTTGCACCTCACGTTGGCGTTGGAACTCCGCGTGCGACCAAACTCAAAACAGCACGAGGCTCCAGCTACTGGTGAGCCCGTCTCACACCTTGTCCCAAGCCGCGTCGTCCAGGCCGATGACTGGCGCTGGCGGTCGGGCGGCCGGCGCGCGCAGGTGCTCCACCAGTAGCTGCAGGTCCTCCGGTGAGCGGAAGAGCCGGCCCTCGGGCAGGCCGGCCAGCGCCGGCCCGGCCGCGCCACCCAGCGTGACCGTGAACACGCGGTCGTAGTCGAGCGCTAGTCGGGCGTTGCGCACCTGGCGCAGCACGCTGTCGTACTGCTGGACGAGCGGGCGCGCCGAGGACGAGGCGGCCTCGTCCGGCGCGCCGCTGCTGACGAACAGCAGCCGCGCGCCGCGCAGCGGCTCCAGGCCCAGCGCGTCGTGAAGCGACGGCTGCCGATGTAGCAGGCCCAGCAGCTCACGGTTGCGGAAGTCGCGCACGTCAACACCGTGTTCAGTCAGGTACGAGCACAGGTGGTCCAGGGGCAGCGGCGCCAGCCGATCCAGGCCGCGGTGGAAGATGAGGGTCATCGCGGCGTCCGACCCCGTCGCCTTGGCGGCCGGCGCCAGCATCGTGGCGTCGCCGAACGGCAGCCAGTTAGCCCACGAGTCGCGGCGGCTTCTGCTCACGATGCAGAGGATGCCGAAGGCGACGGCGCAGGCGGTCACCACGCCCAGCACGATGTACAGACTCTTGGACGACTGTCTGCTGGGTGCCGCCGGCGGCCGCGACTCCTCGTGCGCCGTCACCTCTTGAGTGATGACGCGGACGATCTCGCCCGACGCCGGGCTGATGACGTGCATCGGAGAGACACGCACCTCGTACCTGCCAGGCCGCGCGTTGAAAATGACGATCTCGCAGTTGTCGGCCGTCCTGCATCTCACCGCCTTCGTCTTCGAGCGCGTGTCGTTGCTCCTCATGGTCACACGCAGAGACCGAAAAAAGTATGGCGCCTCGTCGTCCACCACCTGGCGCACCTGTACCGCCATGTCCCCGCTGGCCGTCTGCGTGAGCCAGACGGTCACGTTCCACGCCGTTTGGTTCGCCATGCCGTCGACCCACAGTTCGGCCCCCTTGACCTCGCCTATGAAGCCCGCGCACTCGGCCTCGTCGCTGGGGTCGCACGTGCATCTGCCGACCGACGGCCGGTACCTGCCGGCGTAGAACACCGTCCAGCTCACGCGGCGGTCGGCCTCCAGCACCACGCTGCGGTTGCGCTTCTTCACATCGCGCCAGCTGCAGTCCGAACAGCTGCCGTTGCCGGCCACCCAGCCGTCGTCCTGCAGCACCTGCAGCCGCATGTCAGTGCAGTTGCAGCCGTATGGCGCCCGCACCGTAACGTTGCGGCTGCCACCGCGCCGCTGGCCGACCAGCAGCCGCGGGTTGCACGGGTTGTCGGCGGAGGCGGCGCCCAGCAGGCCGACCGCCAGCGTCAGCCAAAGGACGGTCTCCATGGCGGCCCGTCGCCCTGCCGAGACGCGAGGGTGCCGATCAGTCGCCGGCAGTCGGGTTTCCGGGTCTCTCCGGGACGGGTCTCCGCGATAGCAGCGGCGCACACCGCCTGGGACGGGTCTCCGCGCTAGCAGCGGCACACACCGCCTGGGATGGGTCTCCGCGCTAGCAGCGGCACACACCGCCTGGGATGGGTCTCCGCGCTAGCAGCGGCACACGCCGCCTGGGACGGGTCTCCGCGCCAGCAGCGGCGCACACCGCCTGGGACGGGTCTCCGCGCTAGCAGCGGCACACGCCGCCTGGGACGGGTCTCCGCGCCAGCAGCGGCGCACACCGCCTGGGACGGGTCTCCGTGCGAGCAGCGGCGCACACCGCCTGGGACGGGTCTCCGCGCTAGCAGCGGCACACACCGCCTGGGACGGGTCTCCGCGCTAGCAGCGGCGCACATCAACTCGCTGACATCCACCTTGTACCATGTGCAGGCAATGCAGCGAAACATTTGCTGACAAAGGCACGGGGGATCCACCGGGGTTACTATAGAAGAAAAGAACCAGGCTGCATCCAGCCGCAAACCAAACCAGGCTGCATCAAACCGCAAATGAGGAAAAGTTTAGATTCACACACAACTTAAGCAAATTAGATCGATTTGCAAAAATCATGTGACCATCCAAATCTTTCAATTATAAAACTATATGGTCTATCAAGAATGAACTGACAGTGGGCATCAAGCACCAATGTCAGCAACAAGAAACTTCCTCAAACTCTTTAGACCTGGGAAGTCCCCCAAAATATGGTCTTGACAATGATATGCAAATTTTTTGGTTGGTGTGCTTTGTTTGACAAAAACACATTTAGATATCCCAGGGGACAAATGGGATTTTTGAGACAGGTCTTTTTCAAAAATGTTTTACCTGCATCATTTAGCACATGACAGAACTCATCAATGTTCTTAACATTAGAACAAGCCCTTCATGAGCATTACCACATACACCTTCCAATCAACAATTGGTGAGATGCCTCCATGTCAACTGATCATCCCAGGGACAAAATGTCACATATGACCATGTGTAACTTCAGGAGTACATTTTCTCAAGTTTTGACCTCCCTTCTTTGAAGTCATGTAATATTTTGGGAACAGTTTTCACTCTCAGTGATTTTGCTTACTATGATCATTTTGAGTCAGATACACAAGAAGTCACCATATGCCCCTTGGACAATATAAGCTTGCTTTTCCTAGGACAACTGCAATGCTGCTGAACATACAGTTTTTCCCTGTACCGTGACAGCCTGCCTAGCAACAATCTTAACATGGGCGCAATGGTGGTTGGTAGGTGAGAAAAAAACAATGTGGCTTTCATTATGGCAGCATCCATAGCCTATAACATTATGACCCAAGGCAATGTGCAAGTGGTTCTGTTTTGGGTCTAGGGGCTGTCCTGACATTTTTACTGGTTTCACTCTGCATGCAATTTCTCGCAACTTATTGAAATGAGCTGATCTCTGAGAATTTGACACATACATGTTTCTGTTCAAGTCCATCTCCAACTCATTAACATAGGCATCAATGTGTTCAGCATACTTGCCAAGCAGTTTACTTTTGTACCCTGCACATAGAATCTTTAATGAGGAGTGGCAATTTGGAAATTACTTTTTCCTGCATCTGTGCAGGAGACAGGAATGTGCATTTTTCAAAATTTCATCTTCTGCATATAGATGTAGCACAGCTGCCCTGAGGCTTGGCCTGACTTATGAGCCTCATGACATGAGTTCCTTCCCATGACATGAGTGCCCCTTCTATATTGGATCTAGGTTGGTATAACACTTCAGTCATATGCCTGCTCCCTGTTTCACCATTACAAAAAATTGATAACTAGAAGAGAGTAAATTATTCTGAGGTTTGGCATGGCAACAAAATGAAAACTGATAGCACATGTTGGGCATTACCCAAGAAAAACATACCACAGGGGTACACAACAGGCTTTAACCATCATCACATAAAGAAACTGGATCCAGAAGCCTCAAGGAGATGTCAATGACAATATAAGCCTTCAAAGCTGATCCCTCTTATGCACATGCACAAAAAATATGTCCATTGTCTTTGATGCCTATGTCATAACAGTTCACTCAACCTCATTCACATGCACTGAACTCAGTATTCTTCAAGTACCTCGCCTCTAAAGAACTTGATATTCTCAAAGTGCTTTACCTTTTTCTTCTTCTAAATAAGGTGAAATACTTGAAGAATGCCCTGAACTCACCCAGGCCAAACAGCATGACTTTATACATTCCTACATGAAAAATGCTTTCAGGATATACTTTCCTCACAAAAACTTTGCAACATCATCATTCCCAGACATATTGGCTATCTATTTGATACAACTGGAGGCAGCCATGCCCAAATTCCAAATACCATCTTTGGTGTACAAGTGCTGACATTGTCCCTGCAGATGCTGCTGCTACACAGGACACTTTCTGCACAATGCATTTTGCTTTTCAGCCTGGCCTTCATTGACTGGCACCCAGCTTTACAATGAATAAGGTCTGTTTCAGGTTTCCTTTCCATGTCAGGCTTTACCATCAATAAACCACCATGCTTCCTAGGAAGGTAAGTGGGTGAGCAACAAAAACGTTGGTGCCTTACACTGGCAAAAACAAAGGGGGACAAGGCACCATACAGCTGCAGGGTAAAAACCCGCCTGGGCACCACCTATCCCTGCTTATCCCAATCTGCAAACAATGGGATGGGCACCACCTCCGCAATATCTTGCATCAACTTAATGTGCACACTGGCCCACTTTCCTTCAACAAGTTATCTCACCGTTCAGTTGTTTACAAAAACGACCTCTCCCCCATCTTCAAAGCAATTATCAGCTGCAAACGTCTTCCGATCACCCAACCCCCGACCTGCCCACGCACCCCACACGCCAACAACGCCACTCGACGATTACTACACGAGCGGCAAGCCACATGACAGAGCGATAAAGCCGCGCGGTGGCTCTCACTATATTTTTGCTCAACGTTAGTTTGACGTCACTGGTTCCGACACGTCAATGCGCGGCGGGTCACTGTACGCCGGACCGAATGGTGGAAGGTAACCAGAACATCGAGATATTCATACTGATAGTTAAAAAGACATTTGTTGAAGGTGCATCAAGGTGTATATGACCAGTGTGCGGACCACGTAGAACTTTACGGCGAATGTGATAACATGCTTTTAAGCCTATGCGGTTAATAATTTAAATGCGATGACAGGAAAATTAAAGACACACACACGAAACTCACTAAAAGTAGGTCAGCCGGAACATTCAGCTGTCTTTGTTCCCTACCAAAAGCAAGCAAACAAACTGCACCTGTCCCGTGCCCTGCTACCGTTCCTATGCCACGGTGACTCTGAGCTGCCATGCTCGGGACGTACTTGCCATCCACATACAGCAGTGCTCGGTCCGTGCCTGTATACATAGCTTGCCACGCTCGGTCCGTGCCTATCTTCGTCCTGCCGTGCTCGGCTCGAACCTGTCAGTCGGGCTGGTCGTGCTCAGTCCCTGTCTGTCTGCAAAGGCACCGTGAATGTCGTATATTGCGTTTTACGACGTTTAGGTGCGTTGCTACGTTTAACGCTGAAGTGATATGCGGGTAGAATTAAAGGCTGCCAAAACAGGGTGCGGAGTCAATGGCGGATCCAGAAGGGGGATGGGTACGGGAAAAGCCCCCTCCCCCACCCTCACCCACCGTGGGACCCGAAGAAGCCCATAATAGGCTCCGAAGGGCCACAGCCTGGACCTCTGGAAACGCTGTGGGTCTCAGTCACTTGGCGTGGCGGCTGGCCGACGACGGGAGGCGTCATCAGCCGTTCACCAGATAGCCAGGTGACGCTCGGCCCGGAGCGAGTGCGGGATCAGTTCCGAGAGTCCAATGGCACTGGCAAGCCAGTTTTGCTCCTCGGCGGTACAAACTTTAATGCGTAGGACACCAGCTCGCCCTCTCATGTCTCGCCGACTTCAAAACCAGACTGGAACTTACCGTGTGTGAGGTTCAGAACTGGTTCAGTGCCGATATTTCCCATATGAACGAAAATTCCGCTTTTATGATCGTTGGTTCAAACAAAAATTAAGGAATCAGCTGACTTCCACTCTAAAGTAAACGGTTTCACTCTGCGTGTCTTAAGAAGCATCAAAATTTCTGGCGCCATAGTTACTTTCTTTCTGTCATGGGATCTCGAGCGTCGTGAAAAAGCAAAGGCATTCTCGTTTCCCTGTACAAATTCCGTTATTCCTTTGTTTCAGATATTCTCAAAATAATCATCCAGGCGCACGCACCCTGTCATATCACGCACTCCTGCCCGTGTAGGGTGGGGCGAATAAGAGTCAACCGCACAAAACAAAACAAAAAATCAACTTTGCTGCAAGAGAAATTATCGGTTCCAAAATGCACCACCGTATAATTCCGGCTCCAAATTTCCTTGGACGGCCGAGGAACGCGGTCATGGTGGCCCACCGCGACGTGCTTAAGCGTTTAAAGCGCTCAAGGGTGGAGACGCGCCTCACGAAATGCGCACGCTTTTTGCCCCACGCGTCGCTGTCTCGAGTCGTGAAACGCGCCTGGGACAGACTGAGTCTAAACCCAGGCAGACACTGACTGACCGCCGCACAGAGGGCGTTCCCACATCGGGACGCAGCAGCCTGGAACCGCCTGCCATCGCGCGTCCACCAAGCCACAACGCTGACCGCATTCGAGACTGCCATCCGGGATTGGAATTTAGCCACTGAAAGCTGATCTGAGCCGGCCCATAGTGCGTTGATAGCAAGCTGATAGCAATGCTGAAAGCAAAAGTAAGGGGCCCACGAGCAGACAAAAATGACTTCGCCGACTCAGGGAGTGTTGAATGGGGAGATTTTAAAGTCATTAAAGCTGTTTAGAGGCTTTACGCTGTTGCCAGGGGTCCAATATGTTTACTTGGATGGGGAATCCGATCGTTAAGGAGCCTTCCATGTCGTCATCGACATCTTTGCAATTGCTCGGGGGCCCTACGCTGTTGCCAGGGTCCTACCTGTTAGCATGCCGGGAAACTCTTGTCGATCACGAACTTACCCTGAATTCATCACATTCGCCTGAAAGGCTCTGTACGCTGCAGTCGGGGGCCCGATATGTTAACCTACCGGAGGTGCTCTCAGTTGCTCAGGGGCCCGTTACGTTGGTCTCAGTTAACCTACCGACAAACTCGTAATACGCTCATAATACGCATACGCATCATCAACTCGTAATACGCATACGCTCCCTCTACATTGATTTTACGCCGTTTCAATTCCTGTAACTTGCGGAGGGCTGTGCACTCGAATCATGATTTGACCTGCTCGGTCACGCCCGACCGTCCGGGGGTCCTCCACATTGGGTCTTGGCTACTCCCATGGATGTGCACAAGCAGTCTGATAAGCGCTGCAACGAGAGGGCCGGGGTTGACCCAGTCGCTCGGCAAGACCGCTACGAAATGCGTCGCCGGTACGGGCAACACATGACCAGTTCAAGACGACGCGCTCCGGAACAACTTGGCGGCACACACCTTCTCTGGCCTGCGCATGCCGCGCGACATTTACAGCAGGGTGTGCGAAAGTGGCAGATGCGGGCTCAGATTATCTACCGATGGTGGAATCATGGCGCAAGCTTTCAGCTCTTTGGAAGGAAAATGAGCTGGCGCAGTCACATGGTCAATGTGAGTCATAATACCACATCTCTGATAGGTGTGGTGCACCATTTGGCCAAGCACCAATTTTTCCACCACCAATCAATGAAAGTCAAGCAGCCGCTGCATCTCACCGCTGACGGCACTGGAGCAACGCAATGGGTTCCAGTCCCAGGGCCGCTGACCTAAAGACAACCTTGGTGAGGCACAGTTAAGATCGCCTAGAATGACCGCGGGTATCACAGTATGGTGGCCAGCTACTACTGCACAAATTTCGGCGCGAGTGGTTGTAAACAGATCAAGTTGATCCACAGGTGCCCGGTAGGAAGGCATGTAGACGTGGCACGAGGTGTGTTGCCAAACCACCAAACAAGGCGTACATCAGGAGGTCGGGCCGTTGCATTTAAATAGTTATCGGCGCAGGCTTCTAAAGCACACCACAGTACTCGCCATTCCATTTTAACGCATTACCTGCATGGCCATATGCATCAGCAACTCACCGATTGTTCATTATCTGTACGAAGATTTCCGATGCTCCGCCTCCCCGCAGTGTTACGCTCCACGGCTGGCGGCCGCGCCGTATTAATGCCTCGGTTCCAGTGACGTCATCGTCTTGTACATGGTGGTCGACAACCGGACTCGTGGTAAAGCCGAAGCATAGCATCCGTCATATCTCTGCGATGGTGCTGATTGCGAAAGCCCGCCTTGCCTCCCTAGAGGCCCCGCCGGACGATCCGCCATTTGCAAACCCTCCCGCACGGAAGTCTGACAGCAGCAATCTGTCAACGAGTTTTCAAATCACGCCTCGTGATCAATGAACGTTGTGGTGATCATCCTGCATTCATTAAAATCGCTACCTACATCGGGCTGCGTGTCACGCGATAAGGATGATGATGCAGCCACGATGAAAACGCGCCAAGAACGCAAGGAAAGCGCAAAGAGGCAAGCAATTTCCTTGAACTCATACGTAGATAGATATATAAGATAAGTCTGCGCAAAATCTCGACTGCACGGCTCCGTAGGGCCATAACGCCCGGCGCCGGGCGGTCCCAGGGCGAGGTCCCATGATATGGAACCCTCAGCGCGACATGGATAGTCACAATGTGGATAACTCCGTCAACCTGGCCGCCGTCGACCGGACGCCCCAGGCCAGCAAAAATATAATCCTTGTATTTTAACAACTCCAGCTTCATTTCACCCTCCTCACCATCGGTGACGATACGTTGCGCTTACTTTCGACCGTATCCCGTCCCGGGAGAAGCACAACGAACTTGGTCAAAGCGTGCGATTCCATCCCATTTTGGCTGTATTGGTAGCAGATTCGCCACCATTTCAGAACCGCGAACTACTTATGGGAGCCCAAGTTTCCCCGTCATCATGTACTGCATCTAAGTCTGCGGCGCGGTCGCCGCATGCTATCTCAGGCAAGCGCAAAAGGTGAATTTCGCGGCCTGGGTCATCTCATGGGCGCCGAGCCAGGAGCACATTTTATGGCTCTTGGAGTCACTCGGCTGGCGCAGAATGAGTGACCTTGTTATGTGGTCGTGCGCCCACGTGCCATCACTTATTACCGGTACTCGACACGGATCGGGCGTATTTTCCCACAGACCGCTTTCTTCATCTTGCGGTGTATTTTGATATTATGGCAGCTTTCGGGGAGGAGAGGTCGGGCGCGCAAAGACCGGCGCGGTCGGCAGCGGGGTTGTTTTGCAGGTGTGTGGTTGCATGGCATTAATCATGATTTATTGTCGTTGGTGTGCAGCTGCATGGTAGCACACATTGACGCCGACGCCGAGTCAGCGGCCCTCTCGGCCTGGCCGCCGACTCGGCGCCGACAGATGGCGCCACAAATACGGCGGAGCGGGGCGTAAGGCTTACACAGCATGAGCTATGATGTGCAGTTCGGGGCGAAGTGTACACAGCGAACTGGAATCCGCACGGGCTCGGTGGTACGCAGCGAACTGGGATCCGCACGGGTTCGGTGGTACGCAGGGAACTGGAATCCGCACGGGTTCGGTGGTACGCGGCGAACTGGAATCCGCACGAGTTCGGTGGTACGCAGCGAACTGGAATCCGCACGGGTTCGGTGGTACGCAGCGAACTGGAATCCGCGCGGGTTCGGCGGTACGCAGTGAACTGAAATCTGCACGGGTTCGGTGGAAGGCGGCGGATACGAAGCATGTGTGTCAAGACAGCCCACACTCAGCCCACGGTCGGCCCATACAAGCAGCCCCTTCAAAAACGCT